TCACCACCTCAGTAACTAAAATCAGGAAAAACATTGCGTCGAAACGTAAAAATAATTGAACTATTGGACAAATGCTGTTCAGTGATTCGAAGGTTACCAAAAAACGATCAAAATCCTTTCACTAATTCTTTCTCACCTTTGATTTTGCTTGAAAACATGATGGCAAGATCCTTACTGCGATCAAAATGTTCCTAAACCGAGCAGTGTTCATTAGTGGAGTTTCTATTGTATGAACATTTGATGCTTTCAAACTTATCACATGTAAACAGTATAATTTTAATGAACCTTTAAGGGGCTCGAATAAGTTTCGAGTTTCATTCTAAATGGTTCGAAAAATCCTGCAAACTATATTTACAGATGACGTTATTAGCTCAAAATAATTGCTTGTCGTATCATTTTATCATTTCCAAATAGTCTTGGTGAGAATGATTTCTGTTTTGGTCGCTTTAAACAAAAGTTTTTCGGAACTCCTCGGTGTAGAAATGGCTCTTCGTAAGTGGAAAGTCAGCGTGCTGGAAAGCCGTTTGATATTTCTGCCATCGAGTTTTGCTGGAAAGAAAGGAATGGAGATGCATGCTTGCAGCCGGGAAAGCCGTTTGATGATGTGAGAATTTCTGCAGTTATTCGATAGTTATCACCGAGTCCTGATTTAGCCGAGCGTTTGTTTCTGATTGGGGTTTGCATCACTTTTATGAACCTCTGACGAGAAACTAGTTTCGTCCGTTCTGCCTCCATTGTTCAAAGCTAAAATATAAGCAAAAAAAAACAAACTATTTGTTGAATGGAGTTCATTCCGTCACTGCAAAATTGCGCTTGCTGTATTTGCGCAAAAAATGTGTTGCTATGTACATGGATTAATTTTTTTGGATTTGCTAGTAATGGAACTGGGAAAACTGGGAAATGTCGTATTTCACATTGCTGCTTTGTTGCAAAAACAGCAAAAAGATTTTTTTCTGTGATTTTTAAAATACTGACCGTTTCTGGAGAAAAACTGCTGGCAAAATTTGACCCTAAAGTTTTGCACCTGGAGCTGCCGGAATGTGCTCGAACTTTTCAGTACAACAGCATATTGAGCTTCCTCGGCTTTTCAATTTCTCATCGCTGACATTTGACGAACCGGGTGAACATTGTTCAATTCATCGTAGAAAAACAAACTTTCTCATCAAACGAATACACTCTAAGGTGCGTGAGCTGATCGAAATTAGAGTATAGCTTACGTGCTTGCGCACATTCATGAAAATATTGCGAATGAAGCTCGCTCCCAGCGAGTTTCATTCGCAGTATTTATGGCCAACAACTGCTCATTAATCGTAAATAATAAATTGCTCATTTTTAACCTCCATGTGATATCGCAGTATGAATCAAACCTCGCAGAGATTTTCACTGATTTAATTTTCACCAAGTATTCAACATAGCATTTTTCGTGTAAAATCCACGTGAACAAATTTTCAGTATTAATTTTCTCCATTCGATAATGATGTCCTTTTAATTTTATTGAATTTCAAATTGCCTTAACACTTTTCATCGATTCTCATAAAAGGCTTTTGTATTTATTCTTTGCAACCGCATCTTCATTATCTGTGAACTGCTGTTTTGTTCGAAATTGGATTTTGAATCCCCGATGACGAGAATTCAAGAATTTTGTTAAGGAAAAGTTGATAAATTGATCTTGTACAACTTTGGGAAAATTTTGATGCACTGATGTATCATGCAAGTGATTCTGAACATCTTCCACATTATAAAATGCTCTTTAAACGAAATAAGCTCGTGTTTGATTGGCTGTAAATGACACGATAAAGTGTCTCGAGTATCGTATTTTAAGAGAATGAATGTCTCAGTCATTCGAAGTGATTCATTAGATAGATGTTTATTGGATGCATATGTAAGACATAATCGAAGGAAATCACAAAACCACACAGATAGAACCTCAGTTCAACCTAACTAACGACCATGACTTACTGATGTGTTACGTCGAATGCGTCAGTCGAATGTGAAACAACTATTCAACAACATCCATCAGCAATAATCCATCTTGAACTGTGATTTTGGAGTTAAACTGATATCAGCTGAGATGAGATGAAATGATGACGAACTTATCACCTCATCTGATCAATTAAATAGTGAAGAATAAAATCGCGAATGCTTGGTCGGATTGCTGGTGGTGATTCGATGTTGTCTTCCTCGCCAGCATAAAAAAGAACTGTCTCTTACGACCAGAATGACCTCATCTTGAAAGCATAATTGTTGACATCCATCTGTTTTGGCTGTGTTTGTCCATGACTTACTGATGTTCATTTAATACAAAGACGTTTTTGGTAAATATCAGGTCCACGGATCGATCCTCATCTTCAAAAGTGCCTGTCGACGCCTGTTTATCTTAAACGTGGTGCCTAGAAACAGTGGCGTAGCCAGAATTTCTTCATGGGGGAAGAGGACGCAAAACGGTCAGATCTAAAATCAGCTGAATTTTGGGGTAGATTTTTCTATGTTTGTTTTTTATTTCTCCTTCCTCCTCTTGATTCTTTTCCCAACTTCTTTCTCCGTTCCCTCCTCTTCTCAGTTTTCTTCCCCCCCCCCTCTTTTTCCACTTTCTCCCAACCTCGATGGGGAAGTGGCGTAAGTCCCCGGTGTCCTCCTTGTCTACTCCTATGTCTAGAAACTAACGAACTATCAGGTCACAATGAGGCATCACGACAATTAAGAACTTTTAATGTGAAACATTCATTTGTACAAGAACATTTGATAAGAACATCCACTAAAAACAAGCATTCTTGAATTCCTAATCATCAACTAATGAATGTTACAAACGAGTAAGTAATATAATCTACGCAAAAATAACGCACATACACATGAAACTATTAGTGTTGAGGATAAAAATACGACTGAAAACAACAAAAATAATGAAATAATTACCAAACGATAATAATATCAAGTAAAAAATAATATCAGCAACGATATTTGCAGCATAAAATCGGCAAGATGGAAGAATTGTGAAAGGGAGAAGATAAGAAGTGAGGGCGACAATAAAACTTGCCAATAAGATGACGATTGAAGTGGAATTACTATGATCAATGTAGCATCAGTGTGAAGAAAAAGGCACAACGTCAATTATATCACAATGACTCATCCAAAAGGCGAACAAAATGGTGCAGATCAGTTATTGAATTGATCAACTTCTTATACATTAATCTTACAATCGCGATTCATTAACATTATTTCACACGTGAACAAAGTGCATTCCCTAAATCTTCATTATACTATGAGCATCCTACAATTTTTTAACCTCATCTGTCGTAACTTTTTAACCGAATCAGGAGAAGTATGGTAATTCGACTTGTTACTTTCTAGTTAAGCACACTGCTTCTCTTTATTTCCGTCACTGGAATGTTTTAGCTCACCGGAACTGAATAAAATATCTTCAAAGCAGTTTTTAGACAAAATCAGACACATTAGAGGAGTTCATACGATAGCATTCACTCCCTCTCGAACCTGTCTCGGTGTTTCAGAAAGTGTCCCAAACTCCTTGCCCTTCCATATCACGCGAACGCTTAGTTCGATCAACGAAATCGACTTTTTCGTTTTAAAATATTCCTTCGCGAATTATCACCCATCAAAATGCCCGAAAAATCCAACCAAGAAGCAACTCAATTAAAAATCTTAAAGAGAACAATCATTAAAAATGGACTTTGAGATAAACAGACATAGACTATAACCATACAAAATATATACGGCAAATGAAAACTCGCCATTAAAACTATCGAATTATAAATTTAAAATAGTAACAAAAATCAACAGAATATCAAATCTATGAGATCTGAGCAAGAAGTTGACTCATTCAAGAAAAATACTTCGGAACCTCATTCTCTCAGCCAGATGACCTCTGAGATAAATGACCGAAGCTCGTTCACTGATCAATCAGATAAAGAATAACTGCAGATACGACATCTCTGCTTTAAAAATCTGAATCACCCTCTAAAATATGAATGCCCTATCGTTAGAATTTTAGTGCACAAAAGATTCCAACAAACCTTTCGTCATCCTCATCAACGTCTCAATTCAAAACTAAGCGTTCCCAATACATAACTCAACTCAGATCTCATATTCGTCAATCCGTACAGTGGAATGATTAAAATTGTATCAGTTCAACAGACTATTAAGAATGGATTAGAGAATGTTCACAAAATTTATTCATTCACTTCAAAATTCACCGAGTACATACTGTCACAAGTCAAACAAACAAATCCGATTACGATTATAAACTCAAACAAAAATTCTGAAAACTTAAGTGAAAATTGAAGTGTAAAATTGAACCTGACGAGCAACCCCCAAAGAACTGCTCATTTCCAAGAAGGAAACTAAGCAAGAATAGCGAAAAGTCGAATGACTATACTCATGTATTTGAGAAACGCGTCAAATTCTCGTTTTTGTGGATCGCTGAGATTCAACTTACCTCTATTTCAGCTCTAAACTCGTGCAAAAATGTAATAATATACAATATGTGGATTAGAGTATCGTTGTTAATAGAAACAACAATGCGAATAAACAGTGATAAAATAATTCGCGAGTGTTCGTCCATAAAATTCTACCTTTAAAAAGTCTATTGTAGTCGCCCGTCAAAAATACANAGGAAATTATAGAAACTCTTGAATGTGAAAAATACATCCAACGGAATTGCATTCAATAACACTGTATTTCTTGCCACAGATCACTTTTCGGGACTAGGGAGCCAATTATCGGCGAAGGATCCGATATCATTGTTGGCAGTGTCTCAACAAATGTACTTATGATTCCGATGAATCCGTGATAAGAATCCCAGAAGCTTGGTCAAGATTCAGTGCCACTGCGAACCAATTCAAAAGGGAGAGGGAATTGAATGATTGCATATGCAACGAAACTGTGATCAAAATGACGCTTCAAAAAACAACGAACAGGGTTAACGAACAATAATCCAAACGATAACGAACAAACAACGTGAAACGAGTTATTTGATTTTATTCCATTTAAATCATGAGTTTAACATTCTCTCCCGTTTGCATTCGCTTACATTTAGCTCGGCGATTTTTGAACCAAATTTTGACGTTATGTGTTGAGATTGGTGGGTAACTCTGACGGTATTGACAGCTGTTCAACGCTTCTGTATACTGATCAATCTTAAATTAAAAACAATTCAGTGAAAGCTGATAAAAACTATGAAAAAAGAAATCAGCGTAGCTGATACAAACTTATGGCATGCATGAATCAAGTTGCTAATTCAATAATGACCTGTATCCATGTCGGATGAGGGTTCTCTTCGAACCATTTCTCAAGAACCGGTAATTCAGTGAGCGGATCGAACATTAGTCTCGACCTTGCGACAGTACTTGATGGTGTCTGGGATTGACTCAACTGACCATTCGATGACATCCCATTGGAGGCAGATGAAGGCCTGGGTTTAGGTGATGTTGACGCTAGACTACCATTCAGATCAAGTGATAACTCTGGTGATGAAGTAGTCGATTCCTTCAATTCCATTTTATTCACTAACTGGATTAGAACTGTCTGCTTTTTCCAAATCTATTATGGAACATTATAGAAACCGATTTGATGAATCATAGAAACTTCAAAATTGTTGCGATCCCGTGATTTAATATTGAAATTCAGGTCGTTGAACCATTCAATTAGTTCAGGCAACGCATAGATGTGATGGTTTTTTTTTAATCGAGTAAAATTCAGTGATATCCATCAGGGAATGAATGAAGTGAAGAATGGGCAGTTGATAAGATCTAACTTTAAAACAGCCCCTCAGTTTGAATATTCATATCATTGTTCTTATTAATATCAAGTAATGCAATGTAATACGACCTTGAAATGAGATAAACGCAGCGATGGATAAAATTTGTTTCTTTTCATTTTATAAAATGTCATCTATCTCAACTTTCTTCTTACCATTCATTCAAACAAATACACAAATACGCATATCAGTAAAGGAATGAATCATTCGTTCATTTATCATTTCAGACAGTATTCCCTTTCAGAACTCCACTTTAAATATCAATCAAAACTCAATTAGAACAATGCTTAATTCACTCACTGTGACCTTTTAAAAAACGACTACGATGATAACACCATCACAGTTCTGTAACTGACTCTAACAATAAATTCTTAAGACTGTCCCTTTCTTGCGACAACAGAATAAGCACTAACTGACACTCGAATTCAATGAGCGAAAAGTGCACCTGTTTCATGGCTTCTTGCTCGGATCCATTATCGCTGACACTGTGAACGGATGCATCATCGTTCGGCGTTGGTGAGTCAGACCCGCCATCGATACGTTGGAATTCCTTAAGTGCACAGAATTATCACTGAAATACTCGATCGAAAACTTGCTTGCTGAGGATTTTTGAAAGTTTGCGATAATCGAAAATAATCTGAAGCGATAGATAAATTCTGTTGAAGCGTATCAAAAATGAGAAATAAGTCAATTCCAGCGGTTTTAAAAGGACAATGTTGCTAATAAAATGTTCAATCATGAAACTCTTGATATAAAATAAAGACCCTTCGAGAAGGAGCATACGATTACGCAACAGAGTTGATCTTATTAATGCTTAAAGATTAACTTTAATCAATTCACCACAAATATCCATTTCTAAGCGTATGCTGTGCTCTATTTAGACCTATTTTCCTATTCATTACATCAGCATTTCCACTGAAGGCTTTAACTAAAAGAAGCAGTTAAGACTAGCGTTCGTCGGGGGGCAATTTTTTGCCCGGGGGGGGGAGAGGTCCCCGTCGGAGAATGACCGATCCCCGCGTTCCCCGACGGGGAGGACGGGGAGCACTTCAGCTCAATTTTTTAAACAAAATTTCACTTTTTAAAAGATTCTCCTTCTTTTTTTAAGTAGTTTTCTTTCAAGTGCACCTTATACTCACATTTCAAAACAAAAAACAAGACAATATTGAAAGTGCTGCAG